AAGGACCTAGTTAAACACATTGCCTTTAATTCATCAAACTGAGCAGTAAAATCTCCAATTCTAATGGTCTAGTACAAGGTACAAAGGACAACAATAAAGCTCTTCATAAGAGCTAGTGCTCCTCTCACCATTTTGCATCTATAGGATTAGTGAAGGTCCTGTCTTCTGGGCCTTCCCATTTTGGAGGATGAGGTTTTACACAGCATATTCACTCCAGCATGGAGTTTTCCCTGAGCCTTAAATCCCTTCATTAACACTGAACCAAGGAATAACAGGAATTTCCAACTCCTTTTCAGTAGCCCAGTTTTTCACAAATGCTTCAGCCAACCACTCAGACAAAATTTTGACATATTTTAAAAAACTATATTAGTTTCCATATTAAACACAGAATCTCCACTCAGTAGGTCCATATCAATAGACTCAGCCTGATCCAGTTTTATGTCCCCCCCACCATTATCCCATACCCTTAAAATCCACTCCCACACTTATTCCCCAGACTTCTGCTTGAATGAATTAGCAAAATCATTAAGCTCCTTGGTAGTTTAGTGCACCTCCTCATGGACTACACTTTCTACCTCCCTTCTAGGAGCTGCTTTGCCTTATGTTTTGTCTAGAAGCAACTCTTGGTGGGTCCTGAGGGACAACAGTAGTGTCTTGCCTGGCATTTCTTTCAGAGAAATCACTGCTGTGTTGGGTCCCTTGAGTACAAGCCTTCGCACCTCCACTTGATTTGTTTTGCACTCTTGTGGTTGGTTGCTCCAAAAACAGGAACAAAACCAGGAACAATCTGTTGTTATCAGCAATGTTCTTAAGGATGTTTACCCCTAAGCCATGTGAGTTACAGTGATGAGCTTCCTGCTTTTGCTGGCTCAGCCTCCCCTGCTGAGGGCTATATATACTGTGTGAGAAAGTGGAATAAAGGCTTGTCTGCAGAACCTGAAGTTGTGCTCTGTGTTAATCCCAATGTCCCTCACTCAGAAGAACTAGAGTTGCTGTGCTGACATGGCAAAGATTGTTGGGTCCTTGAGGACAGGCCTTCACCTTACAATGCTTCAGCCTTTTCTGAAGTACCTTAATTTTCTGCATTAGCTGTTCTTCCTCATCAGATAAACTATTCTCTGCACTAGAACTGAGGCTGTCTTCCCCATTTTCTGACTCAGAGGTTATTGCTATCTGGTTTTGCACCTGAAAGCATGCAGACTTTGGTGCTAGCCCTGGTCCTGAGCCAGATTCCAAAGTTCTCCCTGGTACCCCTGACATTTCATTTTGGTCCCTATGCAACTCCTCTGCCGATCCTATGGACTGGCAAGTCTCTTCCTTCTGTATTTCTTCAAGTATTTCTTTAGCTGTGGTGACCTCAAGTCTCACTTTCACTTTATCAGTAAGCAGAGTATCATGGACCAGGCACCATAGCAAAAAGGTAGATATAGGGATGCTATCGACACCCTCCTTTTGCAGTCATTTCCGCAAATTTCTTTTTACCTGTTTCCAGTCAGAGATGTTCAAACCTTCACCTGTCAAAAACCATGGGCTTGCTGTGGCTATATTCTCAAGAAAATCATTGGTGCCTGACCAGCGTCTGGCCTGACAACACAGAAAGGGGAGCTCAGTCACCCACCTATTCCCCTAAACTTTATGGCTGTTCAGTGGGGGCTTCCCTCTGGCTGCTGCATTACTTTTCTTATCCCATCTCAGCTTCTCCCCCAAACACCCCTCTCCATCTGCAGGGTCAGAGGACTCCCCAACTCAAGCTGCTTTGGGGCTGAGGGTCTGAAGTCAAAGTGGTGAGGGAAACACTGCAGGACTTTCTTTGTCCCACTGAATCTGCAAAAGACAATGTGTCCTTTTCTCTGCAAGGTTGCTGGACAGCAAGTGGCACGGATCCTGTACCAGAAGATCCGTCCTTCCAAAGGGCAAATATGCCCTTTTTGCCTCTGAGGTCTCTGGCCAGCAAGCAGTACCAGATCTTGTACCAGAAGATCCTTCCTTCCAGAGGTCATCTGAAGAAAGAGATGGGCCTGGCACCAATATAAGAATTCCTCCAACAATCTGAAAAACAACATGATAACACCAGAATCCAGTGAACACACAACAGGAAGACTTGAACACCCTAATCTAGAAGACGTAGAAGAAATAGACTTTAAATGTAACATTATGAAAGTGATAGAGTCCCTTAAACAGGAAATAAAAAATTCTGTTAAAGAAATGGATGAGAAGAATAACAAAAAGCATGAAGAAATGAATAAATCCCTCAAAGATACCCTACAAAACCAAGAAAAAGCAATCAAAAAGATAATGGAAACAGTTCAAGACATGAAAACTGAAATGGAGGTAATGAAGAAAACACAAACTGTGGAAAGGGTGGAGATGGAAAATCTCGGTAAATGAGCAGGGATGACAGAGACAAGTATAACCAACAGAATATAAGAGATAGAAAAAAGAATCTCAGACACTGAGGATACTATAGAGGAAATAAACTCATTGATCAAAGAAAACAGCAAATCCAACAAATTGTTAACAGAAAGCATCCAGGAAATCTGGGACACCATGAAAAGACCAAACCTAAGAATAATAGGGGTAGAAGAAGGAGAAAAATTACAGCTCAAAGGCCCAGAAAATATATTCAACAAAATTATAGAAGAAAACTTTCCCAACCTAAAGAAGGATATATACCTTTATATGTTACTTGACCTTTTTCCTTTGCTGCTCTTAATATTCCTTCTTTATTCTATATGTTTTGTGTTTTGATTATTATATGGCAAGGGAATTTTTTTGATGCAGTCTATTCAGTGTTCTGTATGCTTCTTGTACCTTCATAGAATTACAGAACTACACATGACTTTTCTATGGAAACCATGAAACCCAGAAGATCTTGGATAGATGTGCTGCAGAAACTATGAGACCATGGATGCAAGCCCAGGTTACTATAAACAACCAAGCTTTCTTTCACCATCAATGGAGAAATCAAGGTATGCCAGGATAAAAACAAATTTAAACATTGCGTAGCCACAAACCCAGCCATACAAAAAGTAATAGAAAGAAAATCACAGTCCAAAGAACCTAACAACATCCACAAAAACATAGATGTCTAACAACCCTCTACAAGCACAACCCAAAGAAGGAAAACACACAAAATCTACCATCAAAAAAAAAAAACAAACGGAGTTAACAACCACTGGTCATTAATATCACTTAATATCAATGGTCTCAATTCACCTATAAAAAGGCACAGGTTAAGAGAATGGAACGGAAAGCAGGACCCAACATTCTGCTACTTACAAGAAACACACCTTAACCACAAAGACAGATATTTACTCAGAGTAAAGGGTTGGGAAAAGGTTTTTCAATCAAATGGACCTAAGAAACAAGCAGGTGTGGCTATACTAATATCTAACAAAATTGACTTCAAACAAAAATCAATCAGAAGAGATGAAGAAGGACACTCTATACTCATAATAGGAACAATCCATCAATATGAAGTCTCAATCCTGAATATCTATGCCCCTAATATAAAAGTATCCACATATGTAAAAGAAATATTACTTGAACTCAAAGCACACATGAAACTCCACACAATAATAGGAGGAGATTTCAACACTCCTTTCTCACCAATTACAGGTCAATCAGACAGAAACCTAACAGAGAAATAAGAAATAAGAAATAA